GGGGGTCTTCAAGAGGAGGTTAGATAAGCATCTAGCTGGGGTCATCTGAACCCAGCCCTCTTTCCTGCCTATGCAGAGGGTCGGACTCGATGATCTATTGAGGTCCCTTCCGACCCTAACATCTATGAATCTATGAATCTAACTTTAAAGACAATTAGCGAAGATTAGGACACTGACAAGACAGCAAAAGGAAATGTGCAGTACCACTGCCTGCAGTCTTTCTTTGGTTAATAAAATACCTCAGCCTCCAAGACTGTCAATCCAGCACTGGAATCCAAATTTAGCATGTTATTTACCCATGTGTGTAAGGACATGATGACCAGCAATGTGTTTAAAATTAGGTTCATACCTGCTATGCTGAACTGAAGCCTAAAAAAAAATACTGTGGAATTGTGCAGTTAATTCTGTCGACATGCTGAAAATATCTGTCAGGCTCCATGAAACATTCAACAGATTGCATTCGACTAAATTAGACTGAGTTATGCTGTTATAAAATATCAAATCAAACAATAAAAAGTCTGCATAGAACAAGTGATGATATCTGGCTAAATCAACTCTGCTGCACATCTGTCACAAGAATTAAACAGGAATAGTCCTTTTTACCTGGTGTTTCTTCATTTCTCCGTTGTAACTCAGTCTCAACCTGATCCAAAACTTTCTCCAATTCATCAAGTATTTTTTTTAGGTATTTTATATTATCATGGTCCAGAAGTTTAGACTAAAAATATAAATAGGTTGCAATTTAAACCATTATACATGTAGTCTATAGTTACAGCATTTTCAGAAGATTTACTTAGGATTACAGTCCATATTTAATAAAATGTTATTATCAGGTTTAAAAGCCAGGGGGATGTCTATGGTGATATGAATGTTAGTGACAACTCGCATAAGAGAAAAAATATCTAAAGAATCACATATTTTGTAAATTCTCAATAATGAATATTCCTGGGCACACCGACCCTAATCAAACACAGCAATTAAATTTATGCTCAGCTTTGAGGTAATCACAAGTGTTTAAAGATAAGTAGTGGAAGAGTGATGTTGGTCATCATGACAGTCCAGAAATTATGTGAAAGGCAAGGATTTCTTAAGGTGGTATCTTTTATTGGACCAACTATGTAGTTGGGATAGAGTTTGACAAGCTTTTGAATGCAAGACATTCTTTGGCAGGTCACTGATGATAATAGGGCTGTGCAAAACACCATCGTTTCATTTCAACATCCGTTTTGCTGTTTTGAAGGGACAGCATTTCGTTTCATCATTTCATTTCATTCTGAAGCACTGTCCCATTTCGTTTCGTCAAAACTGTTTCACTGTTTCGATGCATTTTGATGTTTTGCCCATAGGCTATAATGGGGAATCATGAAAATGCCTAAAACTTTGTCATTTCTTGCCTGATTTGGATGAAAATTGCAGGGATGGTAGCCCCTTCTGAGGGCATGAAGCGTGCCACGTTTCAAGGAGATAGGTGCAGAGGTTTCTCAGAAACTGCACTTCAAACTGTTCAAAACACAACTCCTGACACTTGCCAGCTGCTGCAGCCTCCTCTCATCCGGCACACAGATCTGGGGGCCCGCACCCCCAGGAGAGCTGCAGGGCAGTGCTGGACTCCTCCTGGGCGTGCAGGCCCCCAGATCTACATGCCAGATGAGAGGAGGCTGCCGCTGCTGCCCGGATGACACAGGCAGCGCTCCCAAGGTGTGCCCCCCCAGATCTGCGCCCTGGATGAGAGGAGGCTGCCTCTGCCACCTGAGACTGGCGCTGGATGCAGGCCGGCCCCCGGAACCGC